TGACAAACAAATATTGTCAATAGTTTCGATCACACGAGTGTTTGTCAAATATCATTCACTTTTTGACCTTGAGTTAGTTATAAAAGCCTAAATTTTTATTTCTACTGCTTCCATACTTCGAAAAACTCTCACGTGAATTTAAAATGCGGGAAGAAATGGACATGGAGCCAGTGCATAGGGACTACGGGTCACGTGACTCCTCTCACAGAACCAGTTCCAGTTTGGAAAGCCAGACCCCTCAAACGGGGGAACTCCTGGCGATGGATCCGAAGTCTACCTGGATACCAATCCAGGACTCACCGAAGGAAGGAGCTAGAGTCACTTCAGGAACCAACATTCAGTTCCAAATGAACACAAGTCCCATGCAAGACTTGAGCATCGCGATGGAAAAGTTTCAACATAAATACCGAATGATGTCGAGGCACAAAAATGCGAATCATATTTTGGAATTGACGGTTTATTTTTTGACCGGTCTCTATGTTTTGCTGGCCGCTTGTCTTAATTTTGACCAGGCGAAACCGGTCGTTGTTTTCTACAGCTTGGCTGTGATATTCCTTGTCCATCGATTAGCAAGTGAGTACGATGAAAAAGGTTAATTATCTTTTTTTTTTCGAAACTTCAAAACCAATGAACTTCATTACGAGGTCAAGCTGTGCACTGGATAGGCGCACAATTTTGTATCTGCATGTTCCTGGATTCCAACAAGTTAAATTTTGTCGGAACGATCAAAGAAAATGAAAGAAATTAAATAACAAAGGGAGCGTTTTTGTTGCGGAATCCTCTGACAATTCACAATATACACAGTTTGGCCTCAAAAAAATGTTCAAAAAAATTTACGCATTCAGAGTTGCTTTGATAGTTTCAACGCCAGATATATATGTACAGGCTTTTTTCAAGCTGCATTTTTTTTTTTTGGTTTAGAACCAAGATACAACAATCTTCTCGATTTTCCTTTCTGGCAGAAGTCATTCAGCTCAATTTCATCTTCATCCGGATCTGAAAGTACATGCAGACGACTTCTGTCATGTGGGTTCTACATTGCAGTATGTGCAACCATCGGATTCCTTGTGATCTTCTGGAACTACAGGGATCCGTCGCGACTCATTTCAGCCGGTGGACTCCTGTTCCTCGTATTTTTCTCAGTTATCATGTCCAAGCACAAATCAAACATCAACTGGAAAACGGTCTTCTGGGGTCTCTTTCTTCAATTCGCCTTCGGAGCATTCGTGCTTAGAACTCAACTGGGGTTCGACATCTTCGAAGGGCTCGGAACCGCCGCACGAACATTTCTGAACTTCTCCCATTTCGGAATCGAGTTTGTGTTCAAACCATCCTACCCTCAAGACACTCCGAATGCCGTTTCGAGAAATGGTTCCGAATCAAACATGCCCACGACCCCTGCAAGTGAACATTCATCAACTCCAATGCCCACTATTCTGGGAGTTACAGTACTAATGATCATTCCTTTTTTCTCAGCATTCATTTCGGCTCTCTACCATTTAGGCTTCATGCAGTTCTTAATAGGAAAAATTGCTTGGCTGATGCAAAGAACAATGGGTACCTCTGCTACCGAATCAATGAGTGCCGCCGGAAACATCTTCGTTGGCCAAACCGAAGCACCGCTCCTTATCAAACCATTTTTGCAAACACTGACAATGTCGGAACTGCATGCAATTATGACGGGTGGTTTTGCCACTATTGCAGGCGGCGTTTTTGCCGCCTATGTTTCGATGGGTGTCTCGCCCTCTCATCTCATTTCGGCGAGTGTCATGTCCGCACCCGCCGCTTTGTCGTTTTCTAAGATCGTTTATCCAGAAGTTGAGAAGAATTTAGAGGACGAAGATGAAGATGTGGAAGAGAAGAAAAAGCCAGAAGACGATGGCTATGAGAACCTTGTTCATGCAATTTCTGCTGGCGCTACGGACGGTATGACAATGGTTCTAAACATCATAGCGAATCTGATTGCGTTTCTGTCTCTATTAGCGGCTGTCAACTACCTCGTCACTTATTTTGGATCCCTTGTCAACATTCAAGGTTTGACATTATACATGATATTCCAATACGTGTTCTACCCCCTTGCTTTTCTACTCGGAGCGGATGCGGAAGATTGCACGCGAGTTGGGGAGCTTCTCGGGCTTAAGACGATAGCTAACGAGTTCTTGGCCTATGACCAGATGACCAAGATGATGAAGGATGACCTTTTGACCCCGAGATCTCAGGTTATCGCCACTTACGCCCTGTGTGGGTTCAGTAATTTGGGGTCAATCGGGGTTCAAATTGGAGGCATGGGAGCTCTGGCACCGAATCGGAAGGGGGATCTGGCTCGGATTGGAATCAGCGCTTTCGTCACTGGAAACGTCGCATGCTTTTCTACAGCTTGTATCGCTGGGCTGCTGTATAAATCAGACTAGCTTAAACTTCAACTTCAAGTCTGAAATAAATCTAAAAACGTTGAAACCTTTTCAGTATACTGAATGCATTTAGTCTAGCTAATGTAATTTTAATGCAACTTTTTTGAGGGTATTGCTTATATTCTTATTCTGATGATTTTGATTTTAGAACATTTATTGTTATGGTTTTTAAAGTCTTGCAGCTAAAGAACAACTACTAAAAATCGTCAAAAAATTTCTACTTTTAAGCCCAGTTTAATTATTCGGGAGTCAAAGTTAGGCAGGGTTAGACAGATCCGGATCATAGAGCAGAAAAGAGCAGAATAGTTCAGGAAGCAGCAGTAGGGCAGACATTTATCAATGCAGCTGAGTTAAATTAGAGGAATCGATCAAAAATGATAGAAAAAAAATCTGCTCTTAAATAAGAAAATGAGAGTTCGTCTCAGAAATATAACAGTAAATGCGTGTACTTAGTAAATACTGTTTCAAAAATAACTCCCATTTTTTTTCGGATTTTTACTGCTAAGAAAAAAACTAAGAAAAAAAACTAAGAAAACTATTGATTGAAAGTTCCAATAATCCAAAAATTTTGCGTTCACTTCTCTCCGGTAAAAAAAAAATACATCGTTTTATCTCTATGTCGAGACCTATTACCGGAAGACGTTAGTATTTAGTCAAACTTGATAGAAACTTGAACAGTCGTTTTTTTTACATCAAAAAGTTCAGCAAAGCGTGATTGAGTTGTACTCAAAATGAGTTAGACCTAGACACCTGAGTGAGAGAAATCCGAAAAAAGGAACACGTAAACATGTGTCATCTGAAAATGCTACTCATTTAGCTTGGTCTTTTGTTATTTCAAGGCTGGACTCTTGTAACAGCCTCTTTTTTGGTTTGACTGCTGACCACAGTTTTATACTTCAGCGCGCTTGAAAAGCAGCTGCTCATTTTAGGATTAAAATTTAGTGCGTGATAACAATTGTTGCGGTAACCAAAGCATCTAAGTTTGCTGATAAACTTGATTTTTCAAAAATCACGGAATCTCAAATGCGATAATCGGGGTTACATCATCATACTAAAATTTTACTACGTAAATTATGATTTTTATTCCGCGAACTCTCGGAGCGTTGGTAAAAAATATCGTCAGTTTTTCATTTTTTTTCCAGCCGATTTTGTCAACTGCAAAGAAAAATTGTAGAAATTTAAGTTTAGCATCACTCAAAGCCATATTAGTCAGGGTTTAGATTTCAGATTTTTTTTTTTAGTAATCAGAATGACCGGTCGAAATTTTTCGACTTTTGGACAACTTGAGAGGAAACTCACCGAGAAAGTGACCTTGTCATTTTCATTCTTCTTCAAGTTGTTCAATGCATAAGCTAGTATTACTTCTCAGTCCTGCAGTTTTTACCCAATTCAGTCACTATTCACTAAAAACTAAAATGAATTTAGAACAACAGGGGAAAAAAACAAAAAATACTATTTTTTTTAACAGAGAGTTTCGATTTTTTTATAATTAGTCCTCATACTCGATTTTCTGATAGTAAACTAATATTAAACTACCGTGGATTAAACGTTCTGTGCTACTCGCATATCAACAGATTACCTTTTTTCGGCTAATTTGATTGCAGCAGGTAATACAAATAATTCAGTTTGGTTTGTTACATGGCTAGGTTTTAATCAAGAATCTCGCTAAAACTGAGCGATTGAAAAAATACGATTCTATTTTGTCAAGTTTTGTAACGTTATTTTTTAAAACCGTACGTTATTCAAAAACTACAAAAAAAAGGTTTTTTTTTTTTCAAAATAGTGTAGCTTTTTCTGCGTGGTGTGATAAAAGGATCTGACAAAAATCTGTTTTTTAGATATTTTCGAAAGTCTTAATAACATAGAAAAATCGAACAAAAATTCTGTAGAAAAATTACTAGAAACACAAAAACATCGTATAATGATTTTAAAAAATTTCAATTTTTTTTCCAATTTTTTTTTGCAGAAAATTTTTTTCGATGTTTTTGATTCCTTTAATGGCGCTAAAAAAATCAAACACTTTAATTTGCCGTGCTCAAAACTACATTTGTAGGGCTTAAGTTAAACATAATTAAGCTGTTGTAAGCCTGCTCCCTTTATTCGCTCAAAAATGAAATAAAAAATCAAAATTTTAAAGCGTTTTTTTTTACAATGAGAAAATTTTGTAAAATTTTTTAAAGTTGTTGGAATCACGACTGAAAGGGTTTCATTTTGGTATATCACTCGACCCATTCCATGATTTTTTGTTGAACCTAATTTTGCGTGGAAAAAAAAAGAAAAAAAAAGAAAAAAAGAAAAAAATTTAACACAGTCGAACACAAAGTATCTCCACATTTTTGAAGCAGTTGGAACAATTAAAGAACTTATAGTTGGATATAATAATTTTTTCTTTGTTTTTCATCTTCTTGATTTTTTGGCTCGTTTAATTCACTCTAGTTTTAACTTTTTGGGTTATAGTAAATAAAAAGTTGGAACAGACAGAAATAATTAAAAAGAGCAATCTGCCAATTGTGAGCAACTTTCTCATGCAAATTTGAGTTTTAGGGTGAACTTGAGTCATACTTTCAGTCTGAAAAATTAGTTTTTGCATGCAAAATTTTCTGAAATAGGTCATTTGCGGTTTTTAATTAATTCTGTCTGTTTCAACTTTTTGCAACTCTCTATATAATTAGTAGCAAAAAGTTCGGACAAACAAAATTAATGAAAAAGAGAAATTTATCTATAGAAGGTTGCAAAAAGTTCGGACAGACAAAAATAATTAAAAAGAGCAATCTACCAATTTGGAGCAATTTTTGCATGCAGATTTTATTTTTTAGGTGACATTGAGACATACTTTGTCTGAAAAATTAGCTTTTGCATGCAAAAAATGTCTAAAAAAGGTCATTTGCTCTTTTTAATTATTTTTGTCTGTCCGAACTTTTTGCTACTAATTATATTTTGAAAACAAATTGCATGCAAAACCTAATTGTTCAAACCGAATTGGTGCCTCAAGGTTGTCTGAAAAACTAAATTGCATTCAAAACTCTGTCAAAACATTACGATTGATCTTTATAAATATACTTGAGCAGCAGCAGTCCTTTGTTTTATCACGTTCTGATTTATCTGATTTAAACTTCAAACAAACTATACGATAACTTTTAAAAATGCCAAGTTAATTTGGTTTTTTCACGCTCAGATCAAAGTTTACTATTATCCAAAAACTACATAATCACTTTAATTTTATACGCCTATTTAGCGCTTTTTGCTTATTTCTAAGTTTTGGAAACTGAAACTACTGCATGCTTTGCTAATTCTGTTCACAATCATTAAAAATGAGCTTGGAATGTGAAAATAACGATGGATTTCGTGAATCTAAAGAAGACCTCGATCCTTCTGGAATCCATGTTGGGGCTTCGCCAGGTCTCAAAGGTGCATTTCACCCTGTCGATGAAAACAACAAGAATCATTTGAGTTTCCGCAACAAAAAACCGATGCCCTGGACTAAAGTGGTCGAATTTGGGGAGAATTTTAAGATTGGAGCGAAAGAAAAACTATCACGAGATCTGACCAAACGAGTGATAGAACTAGTGGTCTATGTGGTGATTGGTGTGTACGTTATTGTGGCTTCCGTGCTTCATTTTGATGATGCGAAACCCACCCTCATAATATACTGCATAGCTGTCTTTTTCTACGCCCAGAAAATAAGCAGTAAGTTTTTTTTCTATTTTCAAGAACTAATTCAATTTTTTCCACAAAAAACATGAGTATGAAAAATGCAATAAAATTATCAATTTACTCATTATCCCGTCCAACAACCCCCCCCCCCACCCCTCAACAAAACAATTCGACAGCCTTACCACTCAAATGGATCCATTAACTTGAGCTAATGTATTTTACAATCTAAAGCCGCCTTAAGCGCGAGTTTGTTCTAAACTTGAAGTGAAGGCTCGTTTTTGTTCAAACCGTCAAAAAATTCTGTATTTTTGTGTGAGTCAATTTGGCTTACCGGAAAATGTCGGCGTTATTTTTGAATAATTTTATCGCCCCGCTCCTCTCGAAAGTCTTAGATTGCCCCCATCTACTGGGAAACTTTAGAAAGCGCCTAAATTTTAGAACTCGGAATACGCAAGTTGCTCAACTCTTCTCGAATCCAAGACAAACTCGAGCATCTCCTGAAGTCCAAGAGCTGGAAGTACTTGCGAATAACAATTTCGGCAGTCTTCTACATAATTATAGCATGTCTCATCATTTTTGTCACTATCTATTGGAACTATGAGGATCCTGTTCGACTCAAATCTGCAGGCGGACTCCTCGTTCTCGTCCTGTTTTCAGTCCTAATCTCTAAACACAAAACTCATATCAAGTGGCGCACTGTATTTTGGGGCCTTGCTCTTCAGTTCGGATTTGGAGTCTTCGTTCTCCGAACCGACGTCGGCTTCGATCTGTTCGACTGGCTCGGCGAAACTGCTAGCGACTTTCTGGATTTCGGGTTGGTCGGAGTTAACTTCAACTTCCAGCCGCAAGGAAAGCCCCCTGTCAGTATTTTTGCCGTCACCACTCTTATGATCATTCCTTTCTTCTCAGCTTTTGTTTCGTTCCTCTATCACATCGGCTTAATGCAGTTTATCATCAGGAAAATAGCGTGGGTGATGCAAAAGACTCTGGCAACGACAGCCGTGGAGTCTATCAGCGCAGCTGGAAACATATTCGTCGGCCAAACTGAAGCACCGCTTTTGGTCAAACCATACATACAGACTATGACTCTATCTGAACTGCATGCAGTTATGACGGGTGGTTTTGCCACTATTGCAGGCGGCGTTTTTGCCGCCTATGTTTCGATGGGTGTCTCGCCCTCTCATCTCATTTCGGCGAGTGTCATGTCCGCACCCGCCGCTTTGTCATTTTCTAAGATCGTTTATCCAGAAGTTGAGAAAAATTTAGAGGACGAAGATGAAGAAACTGAGCACGTTTTCTTATCCGAAAGAAAAGCGAATGAGACTGAACAAAAGGAAGACGAAGATAGCAGAAATGATGTCGCAGAGGAAATCAAACGTGATCGAGTTAGCGATTCTGGTTATGTGAACTTTGTTCACGCTATAGCAGATGGCGCAGGGGATGGAATGAAGATGGTGCTGAACATCATCGCCAACCTAATTGCCATTTTGTCACTACTAGAAGCTACCAACTACATGCTAACATACCTGGGCGAATTGATAAACATCAAAGACTTGACGCTGTATGTTATGTTCCAGTATATATTCTACCCTTTGGCGTTCATTTTGGGAGCAGATTCAGATGATTGTTTGAATGTGGGAGAGCTTTTAGGACTGAAAACTATCGCTAACGAGTTCATAGCCTACGATCAAATGGGACGAATAAACGCAGGCAGTCAACCTCTTTCGGCTAGGTCAAATATAATCGCAACTTATGCCCTCTGTGGGTTCAGCAATCTGGGGTCAATTGGCATCCAAATTGGCGGGTTGGGAGCATTGGCTCCGAACAGAAAAGGAGACATGGCCAAAATTGGAATCAGTGCTTTCATCACTGGAAGCATCGCTTGTTTTTCAACTGCATGTATTGCTGGACTTCTCTACGAATCATAAGTCATCGGGCATTTATACTCTTGTAACAAGTTGGCATCCTCCCCTACCCCCCCCCCCCCACCACCACCACCACCACCCATTTAAACCTTTATATTTGGAGGGTATGTTGGCTTGGTTCTAAGCTGAAGATTCATTCGATCAGTATCGAGTATTTTGATTGCAGCGTCGAGAAAATTGAATCCAAATTAAAATTTGGGGGTAGGGTCCTAACTTGATCAAAAGGGGAAATGTAACTTCATTCAGTTTTTGTACATAAAGTTTTTAAAGCTTGACATCTGTTTTGTAAACTTTCAGCTTCATTAATTCCAATTTTTTTTAAAAAAAACTTTCATCTTTCGGTATTTTGCGGGCAGTCTTTGCCCTGAAGATTACGTTTTTGTATGTCAAAAATCCGTTAAATCAGCCCAAAAATGCCTCCCCAATAGATTTTAGTCCTGAGAGACTTTTAAAAATATGTCGAAAGTTTCATCTAGTCATGTTAAAGGTTTTTGCACAGTTTGTAAAAAATCCAAAAAAATCTTGAAAGATGTTAAGAACTGCTGGGCTTTCAACAAGTTTTGTAAATTGTTCGTAATTTTGTAAATTTCGTGAATGTAAAGTTATGGTTTTCAAAAAAAAACATAGTAACAACAGTTTTCAATTTTTGAAACAAATGTAACTTTTGCAACCTTTTGAATATTTTGGAGCTAAATTGATTACAAATCTGAACACTATGATTATACGAAAACAGTGTGCAATAAATCATAAAAGCGTGTCATGTCCGCACCCGCCGCTTTGTCATTTTCTAAGATCGTTTATCCAGAAACTGAGCACGTTTTCTTATCCGAAAGAAAAGCGAATGAGACTGAACAAAAGGAAGACGAAGATAGCAGAAATGATGTCGCAGAGGAAATCAAACGTGATCGAGTTAGCGATTCTGGTTATGTGAACTTTGTTCACGCTATTGCAGATGGCGCAGGGGATGGAATGAAGATGGTGCTGAACATCATCGCCAACCTTATTGCCATTTTGTCACTCCTAGAAGCTACCAACTACATGCTAACATACCTGGGCGAATTGATAAACATCAAAGACTTGACGCTGTATGTTATGTTCCAGTATATATTCTACCCTTTGGCGTTCATTTTGGGAGCAGATTCAGATGATTGTTTGAATGTGGGAGAGCTTTTAGGACTGAAAACTATCGCTAACGAGTTCATAGCCTACGATCAAATGGGACGAATAAACGCAGGCAGTCAACCTCTTTCGGCTAGGTCAAATATAATCGCAACTTATGCCCTCTGTGGGTTCAGCAATCTGGGGTCAATTGGCATCCAAATTGGCGGGTTGGGAGCATTGGCTCCGAACAGAAAAGGAGAAATGGCCAAAATTGGAATCAGTGCTTTCATCACTGGAAGCATCGCTTGTTTTTCAACTGCATGTATTGCTGGACTTCTCTACGAATCATAAGTCATCGGGCATTTATACTCTTGTAACAAGTTGGCATCCTCCCCTACCCCCCCCCCCACCACCACCACCACCACCCATTTAAACCTTTATATTTGGAGGGTATGTTGGCTTGGTTCTAAGCTGAAGATTCATTCGATCAGTATCGAGTATTTTGATTGCAGCGTCGAGAAAATTGAATCCAAATTAAAATTTGGGGGTAGGGTCCTAACTTGATCAAAAGGGGAAATGTAACTTCATTCAGTTTTTGTACATAAAGTTTTTAAAGCTTGACATCTGTTTTGTAAACTTTCAGCTTCATTAATTCCAATTTTTTTTAAAAAAAACTTTCATCTTTCGGTATTTTGCGGGCAGTCTTTGCCCTGAAGATTACGTTTTTGTATGTCAAAAATCCGTTAAATCAGCCCAAAAATGCCTCCCCAATAGATTTTAGTCCTGAGAGACTTTTAAAAATATGTCGAAAGTTTCATCTAGTCATGTTAAAGGTTTTTGCACAGTTTGTAAAAAATCCAAAAAAATCTTGAAAGATGTTAAGAACTGCTGGGCTTTCAACAAGTTTTGTAAATTGTTCGTAATTTTGTAAATTTCGTGAATGTAAAGTTATGGTTTTCAAAAAAAAACATAGTAACAACAGTTTTCAATTTTTGAAACAAATGTAACTTTTGCAACCTTTTGAATATTTTGGAGCTAAATTGATTACAAATCTGAACACTATGATTATACGAAAAAGGTGTGCAATAAATCATAAAAGCGTGATTGCATGAAATACTGTTGAAGGGTTTTTTAAGCAAACCTTTCGAATAGTTTACACTCTTATGGTTGCAAATCAGAATTATTTTTCTCAGCAGTTTTGCTGATCAAATTGTTCTAAATATTCTTCAGAGGGGTGTAAGATGTTTCGAACTTGTTTTCTCTGACTTTATCTCTAATCTATCTATCTATCTATCTATCTATCTATCTATCTATCTATCTATCTATCTATCTATCTGTTATTTAACTGGCGTTTCATGTGACACATGTTTAAGAAGTCCCTATGTTGACATGTTTAAGAGAACTCTATCTTTGCATGTTTAAACTTTTCAACGTATTATTTTTTGCATGTTTAACGGAGGTGTTTTTTGCACGTGTTATGCTATATCGTATATTAAAATTTCATTTAGCACAGGTTTAGGAAGTCCTTATGCTGGTCTAATAAACGGCTAAAATATGCAAGGGTTGAAAAGTTTACTCAAGTCAGCGTTTCGAAATCTGATGGAGCTCGAATGCTTCAAAACTCTTCACATTTTTTCCTTTAATCGCAACGTATAACTATCACAGTTTTTCTTTCACAGTTTACTTAAAAACATTTGAATTTCGCAACCCATAGTGGGGTGCTATCGGGGTACACTCGAGGGCTGCGAATCTGGCCTCCAAGTATGACTGCTCAAATCCTGATGGTTTTCGAGACATGGCGTTTTTTATGATTTTTCATTCTTTTCTCAAAAAACTTAGATATAAAAAACTAACCGAACTTGATTTTCAATTTTTTCAACTCTCCTATATTGGGGCCCTATCGGGGTACGCTCAGGAGCTGCAAATTTAGCGTCAAAGTATGACTGCTCAAATCTTTTTGGTTTTCGAGGTAAGGCGTTTTTTACGATTTTTTTTTGACAAAAATTTAGATATAAAAAACTAATCGAACTTAAATTTCTCAACTCTATAGTGGGGTGCTATCGGGGTAAGTTTGAGGGCTACAAGTCTAGCGTCCTAGTATGACTGCTCAAATCCCGTTGGTTTTCGAGGTATGGCGTTTTTTATGATTTTATCGGTTTTTTTTCAAAAAGCTTAGATACAAAAAAATTAACCGATTTTGATTTTCTCAACCTTATAGTGGGGTCCTATCGGATTAACCTCCTGAGCTGCAAATCTAGCGTCCAAGTATGACTGCTCAAATCATTATGGTTTTCGAGATATGGCTTTTTTATGATTTTTTCAGTTTTTTACAAAAAACTTAGTTAAAAAAAACTAACCGAACTTGAATTTCTCAACCCCATAGTGCGGTGCAATTGGGGTACACTCAAGTGCTCTAATTATTGCATTCAGGTATGACTGCTCAAATTCTTATAGTTTTCGAGATCTGGCGTTTTTGAAAATTTTTTCTTTTTTTTTCTTCAAAAAACTTAGATATAAAAAAACTAACCGAACTTGAATTTTCCAACCCTATATTGTAGTGCTATCGGGGTACACTCGAGAACTGCGAATCTAGCCTCCAAGTATGACTGCTCAAATCTTGATGGTTTTCGAGATATGGCGTTTTTTATGATTTTTCATTCTTGTCTCAAAAAACTTAGATATAAAAAACTAACCGAACTTGATTTTCGATTTTTTCAACCCTCCTATATTGGGGACCTATCGGGGTACGCTCAGGAGCTGCAAATCTAGCGTCAAAGTATGACAGCTCAAATCTTTTTGGTTTTCGAGATAAGGCAATTTTTAGGATTTTTTTTTGAAAAAATTTAGTTATAAAAAACTAAGCGAACTTAAATTTCTCAACTCTATAGTGGGGTGCTATCGGGGTAAGTTTGAGGGCTACAAGTCTAGCGTCCTAGTATGACTGCTCAAATCCCGTTGGTTTTTGAGATATGGAGTTTTTTATGATTTTTTTTTCTTCAAAAAGCTTAGATACAAAAAAACCAGCCGAATTTGATTTTCTCAACCTTATAGTGGGGTCCTATCGGATTACACTCCTGAGCTGCAAATCTAGCGTCCAAGTATGACTGCTCAAATCGTTATGGTTTGCGAGATAGGGCTTTTTTTATGATTTTTTCAGTTTTTTTCCAAAAAATTTAGTTGAAAAAAAACCTTACCGAATTTGAATTTCTCAAACCCATAGTGCGGTGCTTTTGGGGTACACTCAAGTACTCTAATTATAGCGTTCAAGTATGACTGCTCAAATTCTTATAGTTTTCGAGATATGGCGTTTTTGAAAATTTTTTTTTCTTCAAAAAACTTAGATATAAAAAAACTAACCGAAGTTGAATTTTCCAACCCTATAATGTAGTGCTATCGGGGTACACTCGAGAACTGCGAATCTAGCCTCCAAGTGTGACTGCTCAAATCTTGATGGTTTTCGAGATATGGCGTTTTTTATGATTTTTCATTCTTTTCTCAAAAAACTTAAATATAAAAAACTAACCGAACTTGATTTTCGATTTTTTCAACCCTCCTATATTGGGGCCCTATCGGGGTACGCTCAGGAGCTGCAAATTTAGCGTCAAAGTATGACTGCTCAAATCTTTTTGGTTTTCGAGATAAGGCGTTTTTTTTAGGATTTTTTTTGAAAAAACTTTGTTATAAAAAACTAAGCGAACTTAAATTTCTCAACTCTATAGTGGGGTGCTATCGGGGTATGTTTGAGGGCTACAAGTCTAGCGTCCTAGTATGACTGCTCAAATCCCGATGGTTTTCGAGATCTGGCGTTTTTGAAAATTTTTTCTTTTTTTTTCTTCAAAAAACTTAGATATAAAAAAACTAACCGAACTTGAATTTTCCAACCCTATATTGTAGTGCTATCGGGGTACACTCGAGAACTGCGAATCTAGCCTCCAAGTATGACTGCTCAAATCTTGATGGTTTTCGAGATATGGCGTTTTTTATGATTTTTCATTCTTGTCTCAAAAAACTTAGATAAAAAAAACTAACCGAACTTGATTTTCGATTTTTTCAACCCTCCTATATTGGGGACCTATCGGGGTACGCTCAGGAGCTGCAAATCTAGCGTCAAAGTATGACAGCTCAAATCTTTTTGGTTTTCGAGATAAGGCAATTTTTAGGATTTTTTTTTGAAAAAATTTAGTTATAAAAAACTAAGCGAACTTAAATTTTTCAACTCTATAGTGGGGTGCTATCGGGGTAAGTTTGAGGGCTACAAGTCTAGCGTCCTAGTATGACTGCTCAAATCCCGTTGGTTTTTGAGATATGGAGTTTTTTATGATTTTTTTTTTCTTCAAAAAGCTTAGATACAAAAAAAACAGCCGAATTTGATTTTCTCAACCTTATAGTGGGGTCCTATCAGATTACACTCCTGAGCTGCAAATCTAGCGTCCAAGTATGACTGCTCAAATCGTTATGGTTTGCGAGATAGGGCTTTTTTTTATGATTTTTTCAGTTTTTTTCCAAAAAATTTAGTTGAAAAAAAACCTTACCGAATTTGAATTTCTCAAACCCATAGTGCGGTGCTTTTGGGGTACACTCAAGTACTCTAATTATAGCGTTCAAGTATGACTGCTCAAATTCTTATAGTTTTCGAGATATGGCGTTTTTGAAAATTTTTTTTTCTTCAAAAAACTTAGATATAAAAAAACTAGCCGAAGTTGAATTTTCCAACCCTATAATGTAGTGCTATCGGGGTACACTCGAGAACTGCGAATCTAGCCTCCAAGTGTGACTGCTCAAATCTTGATGGTTTTCGAGATATGGCGTTTTTTATGATTTTTCATTCTTTTCTCAAAAAACTTAAATATAAAAAACTAACCGAACTTGATTTTCGATTTTTTCAACCCTCCTATATTGGGGCCCTATCGGGGTACGCTCAGGAGCTGCAAATTTAGCGTCAAAGTATGACTGCTCAAATCTTTTTGGTTTTCGAGATAAGGCGTTTTTTTTAGGATTTTTTTTGAAAAAACTTTGTTATAAAAAACTAAGCGAACTTAAATTTCTCAACTCTATAGTGGGGTGCTATCGGGGTATGTTTGAGGGCTACAAGTCTAGCGTCCTAGTATGACTGCTCAAATCCCGATGGTTTTCGAGATATGGCGTTTTTTATGATATTTTAGTTTTTTTTCGAGATCTGGCGTTTTTGAAAATTTTTTCTTTTTTTTTCTTCAAAAAACTTAGATATAAAAAAACTAACCGAACTTGAATTTTCCAACCCTATATTGTAGTGCTATCGGGGTACACTCGAGAACTGCGAATCTAGCCTCCAAGTATGACTGCTCAAATCTTGATGGTTTTCGAGATATGGC